GTGATAGATGTTAACTACCATATTTCCCCATGTATAAGGTGCACCCTTTTTCAAAAAATTTGGAGTCTAAAAACTGGGTGCATCTTATACAGTGGTTGTAGATTTTTTGACAGTGATGAAGAGTTGTATAAATTTTATGATGATTAAAACTTGAGTTCAATAACTTTATGTAATACATTTTTTTTCAAATTTCGGGCCCCAAATTAAGGTGCGTCTTATACATGGGGAAATACAGTAATCTTATTGTGATAATCATTTGCAATACATGTATCAAATCACATTGTATACCTTAAACTTACACCATGTTAAGTCGTTTAAGTCTCAATAAAACTGGGGGAATATAAAATAAATAAGCTTCCATCTTAGAAAACTAGATAAAGAAGAGCAATATAAACCTAAAGCTAGTAGGAAAAGAATGATAAAAATTAGAGCAGAAATCAGTGAAATTTAAATTGGAAAAAAATAGAGAAAAATCAATGAAAGCAAAAGCTACTTCTTCGAAAACATCATTAAATTTGGTAAACCTCTACCTAGGTTAACCAAGAAAAAAAAAAGAGAAGAAATAAATTACTAGTATTATAAATGAGAAGCCATCATTATTGATCCCATGGGCATTAAAATGATAATAAAGGGAAATAATGAACAACTGTATGCCCACAAATTTGATATCTTAAATGATGAAATGGACCAATTCCTTGAAAAACACAGTCTACTAAAACTCTCACACAGATCTGAATAGGCCTAAATATGTTAAAGAAATTGATTCAGGTATCTTTCAAACAGGAAGTACTTGGTCCAGATGAGTTCACTGGTGAGTTCTAGCAAATATTTAAGGGAAAAAATGATACCAATTTTCTACAATCTCTTCCAAAAAATAGAAGCAGAGAGAAAACCTCCTAACTTCCTGTGAGGCCAGCATTACTGTAATTCCAAAAACAGATAAAGATAATACAAGAAAGACCAATATCACTCTTGAAGAGAAATGCAAAAATCTTCAACAAAGTATTATCAAGATGGATCCAACAAAGTATAAAAAAGAATTATACACCATAACCAAGTGGAATTTATTTCAGGTATGCAAGGCTGGTTCAAGCACTTGAAAATTAATGTAATCCACAGTCTGAAGATGTAATCCACATCCACAGTCTCTTTTTTTGTTTGTTTTTCGGTTTTTGGTTTTTGGGTGTTTTTTTTTTAGCTGAGCCATCCTGTCACCTGTTGGCAGCTCAGCAGCAGCTCAGCAATGCTTGGGAATCGAACTGCTGTTGCTCAGAGCTCACACTCTTGAGCACGCTCTTAACCAACTGAGCCACTCGGCCAGCCCTCACATCCACAGTCTGAAGAAGAAAAATCATGATTATATCGATAGATGCAAGAAAATCATTTGACCAAATCCAACACCTATTCATGATTTTAAAAACCCAAAACCTCAGCATACTAGTAGAGGAGAACTGACTCAGCTTTATAAAGAATATCTATTTGCAGGGGCTGGCTGAGTGGCGCATTGGTTAAGAGTTGGCTTTGGACGCCAGCTCTGAACAGCAGGGCCCCAGTTTGGATCCCACATGAGGGCCAGTGACACTGCCCTCTACAGCTAAGATGGTGAACAACAGCTCAACCTGGAGCTGGGCTGCCGTGAGTCACCGGCGATGGCGTAAGCTGCAGCCCCTGATGCAGTGGGCTGCCATGAGCGACTGTGAGTGGCTGTCAGCCAACGTGAGCAGCAGGCAGCCGGCATGAGCTGCTGTGAGCTGCCGTGGGCAGCCGTCCAACCACCGGCCTGCCTCACCGGGAAGAGCGCAATGAGCATAATACTAACATGGGCCAGTGAAGCGATATCCTCCACAACTAGACTAAAGAACAAAAGGACGGCAACTTGTCTGTTCCCCGTCCCCCAATTCCCCAGCGCTGTTCCCATCCCCCAGTTCCCCAATAAAAATCTTTAAAAAGAAAAAAATCTGCAGAGAACCTACAGCTACCATCATACTTAATGGAGAGAAACTAGATGCTTTCCCCTGAAAATTATGTATGAGACAAGAATGTCCCCTCTCACCACTCCCATTCAACATCATACTGGAAGCTCTAACTAATGCAGTAAGTCAAGAAAGAAAATAAAAGGTATACAGATTAGGAAGAAAGAAATAAAATTGTCTTTGTTTGTAAATGACATGATCGTTTATGTAGAAAATCCCAAAGAATCAACAACAGAAAATGAACTAAGACGTGGTTATACCATGGATATAAGCTCAAGATACAAAAGTCCATTACTTTCCTATATACCAGCAATGAACAATTGAAATTTGAAATTAAAAATACAATACCATTTACATTAGCACCCCCAAAGAAAGGACTTAGAAATAAACCTAACAAAATATGTATAAGATCTCTATGAGGAAAACTATAAAACTTTGATAAAAAATCAAAAAGATCTAAATAGATAACTCCATGTCCATAGATAGGAAGACTCAATATTGTTTTTATGTCAGTTCTTCCCAACTTGATCTATAGATTCAATACAGTCTCAACCAAAATCTCAGCAAGTTATTTTGTGGATATTGACAAACTCTTTCTAAAATTGATATGGAAAAACAAAAGACCTAGAATAGCCAACACAGTATTAAAGAGGAACAAATTTGGAGAACTAACAGTACCCAACTTTAAGACTTACTATAAAGCTGCAGTAATCAAGACAGTGTGGTATTGGCAAAAGTATAGACAAATAGATCAATGGGACAGAATAGAGAGCTCAGAAATAGACCTACACAAATATAGTCAACTGATCTCTGACAAAGGAGCAAAGAATAGTCATTTCAACAAATGGTACTAGAAAAACTGGACATTTACATATAAAAAAATGAATATAGACACTGATCTTACACCTTTCATAAAAATTAACTCAGAATGGATCATAGACATAAAGTAAAATGCAAAGCTATAAAACAGAAGATAACAGGAGAAAATCTAAGTGACTTTAGGTTTGGCAAGGACTTTTTAGATACAATACCAAAAACACAATCCATGAAAGAAAAAAATAAATAGGACTTCATTAAAATGGAAAATTTCAAAAACTGAAAAGACAACTCACAGACTGGGAGAAAATATTTGTAAAACACTTATCTAATAAAGGACTTGTATGCCAAATATACAAATAACACTTAAAACTTAACAGTAAGAAAACTGAATTTTAAAATGGGCAAAAGACCTGAACAAATGCCTCACCAAAGAAGATATACTGATGGCAAACAAGCATGTGAAAAGATGCTCAGCATCATATGTCATTAGAGAAAAGCACATTACAACAAAAGTGAGATACCACTATATACCTATTAGAATGGCTAAAATTCAAAACACTGACAACACCAAAGATTGGTGAGAATGTGGAGCAACAGGAACTCTCATTGTAGCTGGGAATGCAAGAAGGTGTAGCCAGTTTGGAAGACAGTTTGGCAGTTTTTTACAAAGCTAAATATAGTCTTATCATATGATCCAGCAATTGCGTTCCTAGGTATTTGTCCAAATGAGTTGAAAATCTATGTCCACACAAAAACTTGCACAAAATGTTCATAGCAGCTTTATTTGTAATTGCCAAAAACTGGAAACACCTGCCAAAGGTGAATGGATAAACAAACTGTGTGGTATACCCACACAATGGAATATTATTTACCAATAAAAAGAAATGAGCTATCAAGTTACCAAAAAAAACATGGACGAACTTTAAATGTATATCGCTTATTTAAGGAAGCCAGTCTGAAAAGGTTACATGCTATAATTTCAAGTACATTACATTGTGGTATAGTGACAGTGAAAAGATCACTAGTGCAGGAAGAATCAGGAGAGGGATGAATAGGTGGAGCACAGGAGATTTGTAGAGCAATGAGCCTATTCTGTATGCTACAGTAATGGTGGATCCATGATACTCAGCATTTGTATCTCATATGATACATAGACCTGTGTAATCACAGTGGACCCTAATGTAAACTATGGACATTAGTTAATAATGTATGAATGTTGGTTCATCAAATGTACCATACTAATGTAAGACAATAATAATAGGGGAAACTGGAAGTGGGGAGAGAGGGCATATGGGAACTCTGTACTATCTGATCAATTTTCTATAAACCTAAACTGCTTTTGAAACAAAGTCTATTGATTTAAAGTTGTTTTTAAAGATGCCAGAAGAAGAAAGGTAATCTCTCCCATAATCCTGACACCCAAAGATAACTACTACTAAGACATTGGTATAAATATCCCTGGCAACTTTCTATTCATATGTATGCACATACACACACTGTACACACACTGCTACTTATCTTTTTTTATAAAAATAAAATCAGAATATTAACTATACACAAATAATTTATAATTCCCACAACAACCCTAAAAGGCTATTGTTTCCAATTTATAGACGAAGTAACTAAGCTGGTAAGTGTCGGAACTAGGTTCAATTTCCAATGTATTTTACTCCAAAACCTATGTATTCTTACCACTGTACCTCTTTGTAAAACAAGACCTACTTTTTGTTCTATTGTTATTTCATATTTTATCCCTTCATAAAACAGCAATCTTTCATACACCATACTGCCTTCATATAGTGAACTTCACTTCTAATGGTATACATGCCCTTCCTTTGATGTATTCCTTAACTTTGTGCACTAGTGGTTTTAGAATCCTTGCCTACTGAATAGGAACTGGTGGCCCAGCTCCTTTTTGCTCCAGAGAGGCTAACAATGGGACTGACATACTTCGAGGGCAATAATATGGCTTCCTGTCTCCTGTATAAGTAGTTCTCAGAATTCAAGTGTTTAGGAAAATTATTTCTGGGACCTAAAGAGCCTGAGGGAAAGGAGGCTGAGAGGTAGAGGCAGATGAAAAGGTGAAGAGAAGTGAATTCATGTGGGTGCCTGGGGAAGGAAGCAGCCTCCAGTGGGTTCAGTAGAGACAGAACTTAATCATCAAGAAAGGATGGTAGCATCCAGAAGCATTCAGTGAATTGATAGCAGCCAGTTCAATCAGTACCTGTTGTGATTGGTGGACCGTTCAGGGAAGCTTTAAAGAAGACCCTGTCCCTGCCCCTTCTCTCGGCACCTATAGGGAACACTGTGAGGCTCCGAACAATCCTGGAAGCAATACAGAAGCACATCCATTCTTCCTCCCTCATCTTCAAACTGGCCCAAGATGCGTTCAAGATTGCTACTCCCACGGACAGTAGTACTGACAGCACCCTGCTCAACGTGGCCCTCGAGCTGGGGTTACAGGTATGGAGGAGTGGGCCATCCCAGCTTTAGGCTTCTGGCCTAGTGACAATTGGTAGAAGATAGATCCCAGGGGCACTGGGCATAGGCCAAGTCTGGTTCTTTCTGTGTCCCAGAACACAACTTCTAGACCAGACACAAGGTAAGAACTCTATGAATTGGACTCCATTTTAAAGTTAAGGCCAGAAGCAATGTAGCTCTAGGTTCCATGGGATCCATATCTTCTCCCCACCCCAACCCCATTTTTCCAAGTCAGTCAAGGTGTGGTAATAGGACTTTATTCATTACAGGTCATCAGTGAAGCATTCATTCTGTCTGATTTGTAGGAGGGGTGGGGAAGAAATTAAGCAAACCTGTCTGTACTTATCAGGGGAGAGATGGCTGTTTAAAGCACACAATAAATACTTGTTGCGTAAATGAATGGCAAGGGAAAGTAGGCAGGAGGGGTTCATAACCGTTATGCTTAACCCAGGGGGAATGCCTCTTTTTTGCCCAGGTGATGAGGATGACCTTATCAACCCTTAACTGGAGGCGCCGGGAGATGGTGCGGTGGTTGGTGACATGTGCTACAGAAGTGGGTGAGTCTCCCACCTCCCTCTACCCCCAAGGTAAAAGAGTTCCTAAGCCTTACTGTTGGGACAGGACAACAAATCATTAGAGCTCTCATGTTCCTATTACTGATGGCCTAAGAAAGGATGGGCTACTGGTAGAAGATGGCCTCTGTTCAGTCAGCCTAAGCTCAGCCCTCTCTGCTTGGACTATACCCTGATGTCAGCAGCACTTTGACCCTCTGATCAGAGACATGTCTGAGAGAATGAATTTTCAACCACCAGTACTGAAGTATGCCCTTGGGAGGTAGTTGATGGTTTGGTCCCAGTCCCTGTCCATACTTCTGAGAAACTCCAAACAACTTGGAGACTCAGGACCCCATCTAGAGCCCAAAGCCCCAGCACAAGACTACCCTGGCAGGCCACACATCAGCTAGGACCCCCAGGCAGATCTGCAGCCCCTGTCTGGGGCAAGCAAACCACAGGCTCTGCGGCTCCATCCTTGTGAGGGGCTGAGAGCACCAGCTGAGACCTTCAATCCTCTGACCTGGGAAAGGAAGGGATGGGGAGAGACCCCAAACAGGGTTTGGCCATCCGGGAAGCTCCCCTTGCCCTGGTTTGCCTCAGATCATCTCAAGGCTGCTGAGGAGGAGGGAGAACTCATCTCTGCAGGCCAAGTTCTGACCCCAAATGATAATCTGAGCAGACCTGGATCAGGACCCGGATGGCCACGGCTGAGCTCAGGCTCTCCCTGACAGGTGTGCGGGCCTTGGTGAGCATCTTGCAAAGCTGGTACACCCTCTTCACCCCCACCGAGGCTACAAGCATTGTGGCTGCCACAGCCGTATCCCACACCACTATCCTGCGCCTCAGTCTTGACTATCCACAGCGGGAGGAGCTGGCTAGCTGTGCTCGCACGCTGGCCCTGCAGTGTGCTATGAAAGATCCACAGAGCTGTGCCCTATCAGCCCTTACACTCTGTGAGAAAGACCACATTGCCTTTGAGGCAGCCTACCAGATCGCCATTGATGCCGCCGCTGGTGGCATGACACATTCACAGCTGTTCACCATCGCTCGCTACATGGAGCTCCGTGGCTACCCGCTACGTGCCTTCAAGCTGGCCTCACTGGCCATGAGCCATCTCAACCTGGCATACAACCAGGACACCCACCCGGCCATCAATGATGTGCTCTGGGCGTGTGCCCTCAGCCACTCTCTGGGCAAGAATGAGCTGGCAGCCCTCATTCCCCTGGTGGTGAAGAGCGTGCATTGTGCCACAGTGCTTTCCGACATCCTGCGGCGCTGCACAGTCACTGCCCCTGGCCTGGCTGGCATCCCAGGCCGCCGCAGCTCTGGAAAGCTCATGTCCACTGACAAAGCTCCACTGCGCCAGCTGTTGGACGCCACCATCAATGCCTACATCAACACCACACACTCACGCCTGACACACATCAGCCCTCGCCACTACGGAGAGTTCATTGAGTTTCTGAGCAAGGCTCGAGAGACCTTCCTGCTGCCCCAGGATGGCCACCTGCAGTTTGCCCAGTTCATTGACAACCTCAAACAAATCTACAAAGGCAAGAAGAAGCTGATGCTGCTGGTGCGAGAGCGCTTTGGCTGAGAAAGCAGACAGCTCATTGCTAGGGGAGCCTGGGCTCCCAGGTACCATCAGGTCAGGCCAAGGACACTGAAATATTTGTCCACCCTGAGAGGACTCTAAGCACCTGTGGCTGACGCCAAAGGACCACAGGGCTAAGCGTGGGTAGAGTCCAACTCTAGCCAATATGCCTGCCTTGGCAAGGTTCTCACTATAGCCCACTGTTCCTGGAGGAGCTGGGCCCTGCAGATCGATCAGAATCCCTACAACATGCCACCTCACGCCCCTATATCCTGCGTGTCCTGGGCATAGGCCCTCTCTCTCGGCAAACACAAAACACTGTTCCGTCTCAGGGATTGCATAACCAGAGAAACAGAAGCATTTATGGTACTGTAAATATATGTGTTGCCAATTACATTGTAAAGTTGTAACTATTTATAATTCTGGTTCTAATTTGATGGGTACTTGAAATAGCTGTGGGTGGGAAGATAGGCTTGTTTTCTGAGGAGACTTACAACCGTTTCTCAGGTTTCCCTTACACAGTATAAGCTGTTGGCAGCAGAAGAGTAGGGGTGGCAGGGAGAAGAATGGCCAGTTAGAATAAATCCCAAGTCTAGTCTATGCAGAAACCCCAGCCTACAGACGGGCATCTTTAGCCCAGAGGTGGATGAGGGCAGAGCCAGGACTGGACTTAAGACTTTTGCCGCACAAAGCCATGAGGACACTGGAGCTCTGCTCATGCCTCACAGCCTCTCGAGGAGCCTGCTGAGCTCCTGAGAAACAAGTGCAGGGAGAAAGTAAAGTTCTGGGAGGCCACTGAGCTCATAATATTCATCTGTCTGGTCACCTTTGTGTTAGTGACTGGTTTCATCTCTAATTATGTATGTGCGTGTGTATCTATCTGTATGGCTAAGTACGTGTCTGTATGCATAAATATATCTGTGCATGCCAGTATGTGTGCATATATTTGTGTATCTGTCTGTGTGAATACATGTCTGTGTGCTGGACTGCGTTTCTGTGCAAGGGTATACACATTTGTGAACACATAAGCATACATATCTATATGTGTTCATGTTTGTTGTATCTGGGCACATGAGTGCATGTGTAGAAACAGGTTTTTGTCTGTGTGTATGCCTGCTCTCCATTGATCTGGCTATATGTGTAACTGTATTTCAACATGTAGGTATGTCTGTGAATTCATGTTTGAGGATCTGCATGAATGTGTCCCTTCTCTTTTTTGCCCCATCTCTCTTCCCCATTCCTGAGTCTCTCACCAGCTAAACATATTCCCCATCTCTGTGCCTCCTTTATTCATCATTCTCTCTCACCTAACAAGTTTGTAAGCACTCGTCTCCCTCTACCTTGAGTGGCTCCTTCAACCCGTTTTCTTCTCACCCTGAACTTGCTTTCTTCCCCTGCCTCTCTACCTCAAGCTTCCTCTGCCTGCTTGTCACAGTCCCATTGGTTGCTGATTTGGAGGCTAGGGCTGGGATGCACTTGGCCTTTCCCTTTCTAACTAGTTTCTAGCCCTAGTGGGCAATCCGTCTTAGCCCTGGCTGACCTCCACAGTATATGATGTTCCTGCTATCTTCCTGACCCTATGCTCAGCCTGGAATTATCATAGGAGGTAGCAAGGGCATTCAGAAGTCATTTGGATGCCAGTGTCTTGGTGTTTACTGTTTCATGTTTTAGTTCCCAAGTAGCGGGTGGGTGTGATAGGGAAAGGGTGGTATAGCTAGAGTGCGAAAGAAAGACCGCTCTGCTCTATTTTCCTTTCTTTGATGGGCTGTTTGTGTCACTTTTTTTTCTCTCTCCACATTAACCAGTAAGTTGTATTTGCTGTTTGTAGCTACTGAAGTCTTACTGTTCAGCCATGGGCCCTTACAACCTCTTAGCCCAATAGGTTGGTTAAAAAAAAAAAAAAAAAGCCACTCCCATTTCTGTATCACGATTGCCATTTTTTAGCAAGTGAATTCACAGTGCTTTTCTATAAATAAATCATGGATCACAAAAAAAGATCATTTTTCTAAATTCAGAAATTGTGTTCTCTCAATAAATGGGGCCTTTCTCTATCCACCATTGCCCTGGCGGGGGACAGGGAGCTGGTTAGGTCTGTAGTACAATGGATTTCTCGTGGTCTAAGATGTGGAATGACAAATGAAGAATTTCCTGCTATACCAGCCCCGTTTCCAGAGCTCACAGGCAGCTCAGAGCCTTGTTCCAGGAAGTAGGTACCATGATTATGGGCAGAAACACCAAAATCCTAAGAAAATTAGAGGACATGCTCAGAAAAGAAGGCAGAGCAACCTTGAGCAAGGCACCACAGGCCTTCTGGCTTCAGAGGCCTTCTTGCCTCAATGATGCAAGTCTAAGGTTCTAATTCTTAGCAACCTAGCTCTGAGTCTTTATGTCTTTTTGAATCAAAGCTGAAGGCCTCTCAGCTTCTCCCTGCTTATCTAGACTCCATCTTCCTTGACAATCCTCTATGAAATATTCTAGCCATTTCTGTGCCCCTCTCTGATCTATTCTCCTCTCCCCAGACACAATGCCCTCTTGATTTGGCTTCATAAGCTGTGGGGACCCAATTTCTCTGCAAATGTCACAGCTCCAGCTGTTAAGAAGCTCTATCCAAGCCCATGTAGCTCTGGGGCTTGGAGATGTAAGGGAAAGGTGGTGGTGAGGGCCGTGACATTAAGTCCTACAGTATGTATTACGATCTAAGTTCCCATGACTTGTGGGAGAGGATGCAGAAAGAGGCCCCAAGGAAGGAGCAGAGGCTAAGAAGGAACTGAGGATAAGGGCACAGATCTTTCACAAACAAAACCACATACTCGACTCCAACTCTGGAACTTTTATTCCCCTGAAAACAATCATCTGTGTTAGTGGGCCTTGAAGGAAAAGGTGTATGCTCAGTTCTGTCGAAGCACACGTGAGTATGTGTGCACAGCATCCACAAAGGCCCCCACATGCTCTGGATCCATGTCAGGGTAAAGTCCATGGCCCAGGTTGGCAATGTAGCGCTGTGGCCCAAAGTCATCCAGCATCTGCTGCACCAGCCACTTGATCTCCTCCTGGGGGACCAACAGGGCACTGGCTACAGGGGGGCCAGCAAGCCTCTGTCCTCCCTGTACATAATAGTGGCACACATACATGTAGGTATGCTTCCACTCTGTTACTCATTCAGTCATTAATTCAAAAAAATGTATTGGATGCCTAGGATGGGCCAGGCACTAAGAAAACACAAATGAACAACAATAAAAAGAAATTCCTGCATTCCTAGAGTTCACATGGTGTGTATGGGATACAGGGGAGGGACAAACAGACATCATAACAACACACAATATAACGCAATCATACCCACAGTCATGGGCGTGCACAGAGACAAACTCACAGACACACATAGGGACACTGGCTGTTACCTTAGGTGCATATAGGGCACAGGGGTCCAGGTTGCCCTGCAAGGTCACGGTCTTCCCCACACGCTCCCTGGAAGCAGAGTCAATGCCACGTTCTGGTGACTGCACATAACGGTAGCTGCACCTGCTCCACCTCATCCTCCATTACTTACCGGGCTTTCTCTGGGGCCACTGTCCAGTCAAGCCCAACCACCTGGTAGCCAGCCTGGGCCAGCTCCTCCAGGGCAAAATGTCCATCCTTAGCAAAGATGATCTGGGAGAAAGGGCAGATCTCTGAGGCTACAGGGTGCTTTGCTATGCCCACTAACCTACCTCTGCTGCCCTCCAGTGGTCATTTCAGTCCACACAGGACTTACCCTGAAAGTTCCACTCACACCTTCACTCACCCCATCCCCACTCTTACCATGGGCACTGGTGCCAGGCCTGCCTCCTGAAGCTTGGCCTTCACTCGCTTGGCAACATCACGGATGTAGGGCAGTGCAAACTTACTGAAGAGATGTGGACCGAGATGCCCTGCATGGGACTCAAAGAGCTGCAATGCCTACAGTTAGGGGTAGTGAAGAGAAATGCATAACACACAAAAAGGAAGTATATCTCAGGCCCTACACACAGAATGTGCTTTAATTTTCCCCAAGTGACTTCAGCCCCTCATACTACCTATGCATATAAACCCAGTTCCAGTCAAAAATTTTTGCCTTTTCCTATAGATCCCAGTGCTAGCTTTGATCTTTGAACACATGAAGCATTAAGCCCCTGCCAGTGTCAGGGTGGACTTAGCTGCTTCAGCCAGATCACTGCAGGCCAAGCTTCTTCCATGCCTGCCATTAACACACCCACCCTCTCAGGTATAGAGAACTCTGTTGCTTCTGGTCCTCCTTATACACTAAACCCCAGCCCATTTGTCTCTCCCTCAGAACTCACCTGGGCACCAGCAGCCACTTGCCCCACGAGATATGGTACCAGAGCATCAGTGAGGATGCGAAGCAGCTGATGACTGGCCTTTGGTCTCTGGTAAAGCCAGCACTTGGCATGAGCCATGGTGCTTGAGCTGCCACCCTCAACCATGTATGTCATCAGAGTCCACTACAAAAGGATACAAAGGGAATGTCACATGTGTAGAAGCCAGACTGACACTTCCTTCCCTTGTCTACACCAGACCTGCCAGAGTGTTTTCCCCATGCCCAAATCCCTGCCCTGTTCCACATTACCGGGGCACCAGCGAAGCCAATCAGCGGCACACGCCCAGCCAGCCGTTGTCGAGTAAGCGTGATGGCCTGGAACACATAGGCCAGCTCAGAGGCCACTACTGCTGGATCCCGGAGACGCTCTAAATCCCGTTCTTCTCTTAATGGCTCTGGAAAGCTGGGCCCTTTGCCAGGCACCATGGTCACCTCCATGCCCAGTGCCTGGAGGGGGAGAAAACATCTGTGTTCCCAACCTGTAACTCCCAGAGGAAAGGCTCTGTTCAACCCATGCCAGGAAAGAGAAAAGGAAAATAAAGTTCAGCCAAACTCAGTCTCTTCCAGCCAGTCTGTTTTTCCCTCTGTCCAGTGAGGGTAAGTGCTCATCTTGAGCCTTGACTGCCTTTGCCCTTTTTCATCCATTCCAGAATCAGGTTTGAGTGGGTACCTGAGGTACAACAAGGATGTCGGAGAAGATGATGGCAGCATCCAGAGGGAAGCGACGCAGTGGCTATAGGAAATCGAAGACAAGTTGCTAGGTAGCGATCTAGGGGCATAAACCCCTCCCTCTTTTGTGGGCCCCCCACCCCCTCACCTGCAGAGTCAGTTCACAGCAGGCCTCTGGGGAGCGACAGGTGCTGAAAAAGTCCTGGGCAGCCCGAGTTTCCCTAAACTCTGTAAACAGGAGAGGGAAGGCAAAGCTCAACCTTGAGGAACCTCTAGAGCCCTCCCCTGCCCCTCAAAAACTTTCCACCTTCCAGAGTTTTACCTAGACTCTCAGGCCCTGACCCTGACCTGGTAAGTAGCGGCCTGCCTGCCGCATGCACCAAACTGGAGTGTAGTCTGTGTCTTCTCCCCAGGCTGCCCGCAGGAATGTGTCATTCTTCAGCTCCGGGAAAGTCTGGGGTCTGGAGATGGGGAGTTGGGGCGGGGATAAAGGGTGGGTAGGTGTCAGTCAGCTAGGGAAGGCTGGGGTTCTTGAGGCAGGTTCAGTCCAGCACCGTTATCTGCTTTCTCCAGACCAGCTCCCACGCTGCGGCTCCCCGCCCGTTCCGCCTCCTCTCTGCCTATCAGGTGGTGCACAAGGCTAGACGGGCCCAAGCAAGGGCCTCTACCCTACACTCAGACCCTGCTTCCCCCAGCTCGAAGCCACTGGAAGGACTGGGGGGTAGGGCGACAAAACCCCAGAAAGGATAGTTTAAGGGTCTCTGGACCAGAAAATCACAGGAACGGGGAGTATAAAGTAGGCTGATTCCGGGTATGGGAGTCAGCGAAGGAGCGATCAGTTGACAGTCCCGAAACAGGGGTCCTAGTTGAGGATTTGAAAGTCCTGGGGGCATCTCCTAAATGAAGGTCTCAGGAATCCATCGTTAGAGAATTTTCGGGATTCCAGACTCTGGGGTTCTGGTTGGGGGCTCTCCAGAGAGAAGGAGGGTATAGGGACAGATCCCTGAGCTGGAAGACTCAGGTCAGAAGCCCCGCTGGCCACCATCGCATGGTGCGCAGAACTCACCCGAACCCGTTCGCCTCCATGATAAGATGTCTGTGTAACTGCGAGCTAATTCCCACTTTAACCTGAATCTTAGCCTACCCCGTCCCCAGGCTCCGCCCCTTCCTGGACTGAGCCAAGGCGGTGGCCATGTTGAAAGTCACATGATCAGACTCCAGCAACAGCTACCGGGCTGCCCTAGCTGCTGCCGTTAGGACCCCCCTACCTCACTTCACCGTAAAGTCCCGTGTAGCGACGCAACAACAAACACCCGCAAAAAGAACTCAGCTCTAACTACACCTGACCATGGCATGAGTAATTTGCTCTCCTCTGATGACCTACGAATCCCGAAGGCTTGGCCTAAGTCTTACTTTCACTCCCACTGTCCATGATTGTAACAATCTTATGCCTGACCAGCTAGGCATACTGTGGACTATGGAACCAAACTGAACAGGGAACTGAAATCATTCAATATTTATATCACCTACTAAAAGCCTATAATAGGTGTGGAAGTTACTGTGGTGAACAAGGCAGCCCCTTCCTCTAAGGAGCTACAGACTAATGAAACAAATCGGCAATCACAATAATAATAGTTTTAAGAGGAAAAAGCTAGAAGCAACTAGCAAGGGCTCCCAGCTTAATTGGGGAAAGCGGTGGGGGTATTCCAAGCAGAGGGAACAGTATGCACAAAAGGGGCAAAAGAGCAAATGGCTATTATGAGAACCAGGAGATCAATCTGGTGGAATTAAAGAGGCTGGAGATGTCTACAGAGTTCAGGTCATGCAGGCCTTTGTGAAGTACATTTGTTCACCTTATCCTGTAATAGTGTGATAGCATACAAATAGCTTGGAGAAGGGAAGAGAAGCACTGTGTTCCCAATTTTCTAGGAAGAAAAAATGGAAAGCCATCAAAATTACATGGGATCGTTTAAGATTTCTTTCTTGATAATTTCAATTATTTGAAAACTATATCAAAATAAAGTTTCCATCCAAATGCCCATCAACAAATGACTAAAATAAACATACATACATACAATGGAACATTGTTGAGCCATGAAAAGAAGTTAAGTTCTGATACATGCTACAACTTATGCTGAGTGCAATAAAACAGACGCAAAAGGACAGGTATTGTGTGGTTCTGCTTACATGCACCACCTAGAATAGGCAAATTCATAGAGGCAGAAAGTAGATTAGAGTTTACCGGGGGTGGTGGAAAGGAGGCAATGTGGAGTCATTGCTTAAAGGATACAGAGTCGCTGTTTGGGGTGATAAAAAAAAGTTTTGAAAATAGATAACTGTACACTTAAAATGGTTAAAATGGCAAATTTTGTTGTATGCATTTTATCGTTTAAAATGCATACACGTTTTAAAGTTAAAGTAATATCTCAAAAATCATTAAATTGTACACTTTAAATGGGTGAATTGAATGGTATATGAATATCTCTAAAACTTTTTAAATGGGGAGGAGGGGACGGTTTCCTTTCCCTCCATGATTGTACTTCACCAACAGCTCCTGTTCATCTTTTTTGCCTCCTCTCTTCCCGTCTTAAATTTTCCTCTCGTCTGGTTCAGAATTACTGGGAGAAACTGGATAATGATCACTGGTGTCTTGGGATTAGGAATAACAACCAGGATCAAGCCTTAATGACTCATGACTCCTCTGTCAGTGGCAGGGCTGGGGAGGGGGTTATTCTCCCAAACATTTTAGCCACACTGTCCCTAGAACAGGGAGCCCAAGAGGATGTCTAGAAATTTTTCAAAGATTCTTCTGGTTGTAGTCTGAGCTGATGGCGGTGAGGCAAAACAGGAGGTCAGGACCAGAAAAAACGGCGGTTGCAGAGATCCAGGCTGAATAGGATGGCGGCTTGAAAGAGGGTAGTAGTAGCAGTGGGGATAAAATGGTAGTAGAAATGGGAATAGACAAGGGGGAGTTGATCAGGTAGAAACTACTGAACTTGAATCTGGTCGGCTTAGTGAGAGGCACAGAGGTAGGTAATATATATAAACGAGTATCCGAGTACACGGGGCAATACGGCGGGAGCGTAGGGTGCGCTTAGTCCAGAACTTACGGTGAAGGTTGGCCGAAGGCGGGGCATAGCGTGATGGGAAGCTCGACCAGCATCCGCGGCCGCTGCTCCTGGAGCCGGGTCGCCACTGGGCTTCCCTCTGACACTTCGACATGGCTGGCCCGGGCCCCGGCGCGGCCCTAGAGTCCCCGCGGCAGCTGCTGGGCCGAATACGCTTCCTGGCGGAGGCAGCGCAGAACCTCCGCGCCGGACGGCCGCTGCCGGCGGCGCTGGCTTTCGTGCCGCGCGAGGTGCTTTACAAGCTTTACAAGGATCCGGCGGGACCGTCGCGCGTGCTGCTGCCGGTGTGGGAGGCAGAGGGCCTGGGGCTGCGTGTGGGAGCCGCAGGCCCGGCCCCGGGTACTGGCTCCGGGCCCCTTCGCGCTGCCCGAGACAGCATCGAGCTCCGTCGCGGCGCCTGCGTACGCACCACGGGCGAGGAGCTATGCAACGGCCACGGGCTCTGGGTGAAGCTGACCAAGGTACGCCCTGGCCTGGGCCCTGCAAAAGACCCCCAGAGCCAGGGAAGCCCCTGGCTGTTCCCCTTCCCTCCCCATATTGAGCTGGCATTGCGTTCAGTGCCCTTTGACTTGGGCTGGGCAGGGCGGGACGCTGGGCAGCTTCCTGACGGCTGTTCCCATCTGGCGCGTCCCGGCAGGAGCAGCTGGCAGAGCACCTGGGCGACTGCGGGCTGGACGAAGGTTGGCTGCTGGTGTGCCGCCCGGCGGAGGGCGGGGCCCGCCTTGTACCCATAGACACTCCCGACCACCTCCAGCGGCAGCAGCAGCTCTTCGGTGTGGATTACCGCCCACTGCTGAGGTCCTGCACTTGAAGGGGCGGGACTTGCTATCAGTTGTCCGGGCCTCTTCCCCCGGCGGTTGGAAAATAGTCTGGCACAGCCCGGGAGGTGGGATATGGAGCGAAGGCAGGGTTAAGAGCAGGAAGGGGCGGGGCCTGAAGGGAGCTGGGGCGGCGGGGAGGGGGTTGCTTCTGGAGGCGTAGTTTGGAGGAGATAGCACTCCGGATAAGGTTCCAGAGCTTGGGATTGTCTTGCTGTCCACTGATGTCTCTCCATCCCACCCCCCGCTCTCCGCCCGCAGATGGGAACAGGTGGTAGACCTGACATACTCACATCGCCTCGGATCGAGGCCTCAGCCAGCCGAGGCGTACACGGAAGCTGTACAAAGGCTCCTGTGAGTGAGCTGGGATGGGATGGGGAGGAAGGCGCTCCAGGTCTGGGCCCGACCTAATTAGGGACTTGGGGTTGCTTAGCTATGTACCCCCGACGTGGACCTACGAATGCGACGAGGACCTGATCCACTTCTTGTACGACCACCTGGGCAAGGAGGATGAGAACCTGGGTAGCGTGAAGCAGTATGTGGAGAGCATAGACGTTTCTTCCTACACGGTGGGTGCTGGGACTCCTCCCACCCCAAGGAAGAGCAAGTCACATCTTGCTAGATCCAGAACCCTCACCTCTCGACCAGTGCTAAACCTGGATCCCCATAGGCCAGACTCAGTCCAGCCCCCCATCTTGGAAATCTTATAGGAACCCCTAGACAATTCCGCCCATACCAGCTGCGCTTTTTACCCAGCTCGGGTGTTTTTTTCTCTTGTGCTTTCTGACCCAAAGTAAACCTCCAGTGCAGGGAGTAGAGGTAAACACTGATTCCACCTTTCTACCCCTCCCCAGGAGGAGTTCAATGTGTCCTGCCTGACAGACAGCAATGCAGACACCTATTGGGAGAGTGATGGGTCGCAGTGCCAGCACTGGGTGCGGCTTACCATGAAAAAGGGCACCATTGTCAAGTGAGTGGGCTCTGAGTAGGACAGGGTGGGTGAGCCACCTGTCTGTGAGTGTACAGAGACCCATGTGCATACTCTGACCCCCAGGAAGCTGCTACTCACAGTGGATACCACAGACGACAACTTTATGCCTAAGCGGGTTGTAGTCTATGGGGGCGAAGGAGACAACCTGAAGAAGCTGAGTGACGTGAGCATTGACGAGTGAGCAAGCTGGCCTGGGGGAGAGGTGGGGCATGGTCCTAGCAATGGGGCTTGGCCCGACTTGGAAGGTTGGGAGAGACCCCAGCAATCCCTGAAGGCAAGGGGTACACAAAGTGCCACACATCTGTCTCCTTCAGGACCCTGATCGGGGATGTCTGTGTCCTGGAGGATATGACTGTCCACCTTCCAATCATTGAGATCCGAATCGTCGAGTGCCGAGGTGGGGCTTAAGGCTATCAGGAGGTAAAGGGAGCCCAGTGTGTAGATGGGGACTAGCTGGCGGTGAGTTTGGAGAGAAGGAGATGGGCTTGGAGTTGAGGTGAAGGTGATAACTGAACTAACTCCAAGATATGAAGCTTTTGAGGCCTGAGCTGGGTGAAAGTTACTGGATATAGACTGGCCTTAAAGCCACAGGTGGGACCGGCCGAGTGGCTCAGTTGGTTAAGAGCTTGCTCAAGAGTTTGAGCTCTGAGCAACAGCAGTTCGATGCCCGGCCTGAGCTGAGCTGCCAACAGGTAGCAGGATGGCTCAGCTAAAATAAATAAATAAATAAATAAATAAAGCCACAGGTGGTTAGGCTCAACTGGAAGAGGAACTGAGTTGGGACCTTCAGGCATTCCAACATTACAGTGGTGGACAGCAAAGGATATAATAATCAGAATCAGGTGAGTAGAAGGGGATCCCAAAGGTCCCAACTGTCTAGGGGCAAAGGGAGACAAAAGGCTGAGCATTAAGGGAACATTCTCAGGTCTAAGGGCCAAGGAGGCAGCAGGCACAGCAAGTGACCTCACTCTGACTGCTTCCCTCAGATGATGGGATTGATGTGCGTCTTCGAGGGGTCAAGATCAAGTCATCTAGACAGCGGGAACTAGGGTTGAATGCAGACCTGTTCCAGCCGACCAGTTTGGTGCGATATCCTCGCCTGGAAGGCACTGACCCAGAAGTACTGTACCGCAGAGCTGTTCTCCTGCAGAGGTAGCTGTGGTCCTGGGCCTGCCTGGCCCTTCCTGAGCCTTGTATGTCTATGTGGAAGAGGTCCCCAAGGTCTTATACTGTAAGCTGTTCCATTTTAAGAATCAGAGCAGCCTCTGGGTCCTGGCTTCTCCTGTCCCTGTGTGTTGGGATTGAGGCGGTCTTACATCCATGCTAAACTCTTTGACTACAGTTACTTTACCACCTACCCCAGATTCATAAAGATCCTAGACAGCGTCCTGCACCACCTGGTACCTGCCTGGGACCACACGCTGGGCACCTTCAGTGAGATTAAGGTGAGTGTCCCATCCAGTGCTGGACTTGGCAGTGGGCTTCCCCTTTATGCTCATGCAGTCGTTCACTCTTCAGCAGAGAGTTCTTAAAACCTAAAGGCCTGGACCTTTGCTGGGCTTTGGGCACATAAAAAGAAAGCCAGGCACAAACAGCCAAAATTTAGTTGCTGGGGTGCTATTCCCCAGATAGTGTGCAAAATACACAAGAGCTGGGGGAAGAGAAATGACAGCATGGATAGGACAGGTTGCGTAAAAGGTGCATACTGGGAATTAATAGGCAGCAATAGAAAATGTGAGAGAAGTGTACAGGCAGATGTGAGTATGGTATGGGGATGAGGCTGGAAGGGGGTGGGCAGGAAGCAGTCCCTGGTAGCAGAGGGCACTGTGAGCCAGGCTATGAAGAAGGGACTTTGTTCCAGGTGAGTAGAGCCATTGGAAAGATTTTAAGTAAGGTACCGCATTTCCCCATGTATAAGACACACCCTTTTTTGAAACATTTGGGGTCTAGAAACTGAGTGCGTCTTATACAGTGGTTGTAGATTTCAAATGCCATAGATGGAACTGAGGACGAGGCAATATATGAAGACAGTGATTCTTCATCAGACACAGATGAGGACAAGCTAATGGTTGGGAGTTTTGACAGTGATGAGGAGTTGTATAAATTTTATGATGAATAAATCTTGAGTTCAATAACTTTATGTAATACATTTTTTTTCCAAATTTCGGGCCCCCAAATTAAGGTGTGTCTTATACATGGGGAAATACGGTAATAACAAAGTTGGACTTTTTTGTTTTAGAAAGCTCCCCCTGGTGGCTGGACTAAGGGAGGGACTGGCAGCAAGGACAGGATGGACTAGGCTTGGACTGGAATGGTGGAATTCTGTCTAGACATAGAGGAAGGTTCCAGGGCCTGGACAGAGGCTGACTGCCTGCTGGTCCTGCTCTGGTCACCCCTTCTCACCAGCAAGTGAAGCAGTTCCTGCTGCTGTCACGCCAGCGGCCGAGCCTGGTGGCCCAGTGCCTGCGTGACTCAGAGAGCAGCAAGCCCAGCTTCATGCCACGCTTGTACATCAACCGGCGCCTTGCCATGGAACACCGTGCCTGCCCCTTAAGGGACCCTGCCTGCAAGAACGCGGTCTTCACCCAGGTCTGGACTACCTGGGGTCGGCCTGAGGGAGGGCAGTAAGGGGCCAAGGGGGCTGGGCTAAGAGGGACCTGAGCAAGGTCTTTGGGCAAGAGCGGGGCCAGGTCTTGACACAGACTTCCCTACAACTCCCTCCCCTGTCTCCTGCCCCCAGGTGTATGAAGGCCTCAAGCCCTCTGACAAGTATGAAAAACCCCTGGACTACAGGTATGGCATGAGGATGAGGGACTTGCTCAGAGCAGACGTGTACACACATACACCCACACACTGCCTCTGGCACCCTTCACCATAACCCCTCTGTAGCCCCTACTCCTGGCTGGTGTTTGGGCTGGTAAAACGTCCCAAGACATGGCCCAGCTTGATGACAGAGATCCACCCCTGCTTACAGGTGGCCCATGCGCTATGACCAGTGGTGGGAGTGTAAATTCATTGCAGAAGGCATCATTGACCAAGGTGAGGCCATGAGCGGGGATAATAAGTTTCCTGCCCTAGTTAGAGTGGTGGAGGTTTTTGGGGTCACCAGCTAGCCAGGTTAGGGGACCTGCTTATTACTCCGTTATGGGGGCTGGGACTCTTGAGTGCCCCAGCTGAGGGCATCTATCTGTCATTTCAGGGGGTGGTTTCCGGGATAGCCTGGCAGATATGTCAGAAGAACTGTGCCCTAGCTCGGCAGACACCCCTGTGCCTCTGCCCTTCTTTGTGCGCACGGCCAACCAGGTAATCTCCCACCTCTACCTCCCAAGTTGTTTCTCCTGTCCTGTCTCTGCAAACCTCCCAGGTACCAGGCTGAGCTAGAGGGGGCAGAAGAGGGACTGCTTGCCTGGGTCAGCCTCTGGGCAGACAGCAAAGGAGGAGCCATTATACATTCAGAGGGGTCATTCAGGGTCCCCAATGGAAGGTGTTCAGGGAGGTTTTGGGGAATCTCAGGTAACGAAGTATGGTCCATCCCATGCCATGCTGACAGCTCTGTCTCGGGGGCAGGGCAATGGCACAGGTGAGGCCCGGGACATGTATGTGCCCAACCCCTCCTGCCGAGACTTTGCCAAATACGAGTGGATTGGACAACTGATGGGGGCTGCCCTTCGGGGTAAGGAGTTCCTGGTGAGTAGTCTAAATCTACACCCCATCAGATCAGCCCTGGCCGCTGGAAGGAAGAAGGGACAGCCAAATCTGGGCAGCTCAGGGTCATAAGACAGAAGTATTTGTCCCATAGGTCCTGGCTCTGCCTGGTTTTGTGTGGAAGCAGCTCTCTGGTGAGGAGGTGAGCTGGAGCAAGGACTTCCCAGCTGTGGACTCTGTGCTGGTGAGTAGGGCTTGGAGCCAATGTTTCCTCTGCTCAGTCCCTAAAAGTTGCTGTTCCCCAAGTCTGTCCTGAACCTTCTATTACCACACACACAGTCCCTCTCCAGTCCCACCTACTCCCATAGTTTCAACTATTATCTCTATTCTGGTGAACCCTAAATCCTTACCTCTGGCCCCAGCCAAAAATGCATCTGCCTGCTGGACCTGTGCACCATGATGGCATACAGTTCATCTCCCTAGTCTCCACTGCCCTCTAGGGCTCCCTGTCTCAGAATGGCACCACTACCCACCCCTCCCTCTGCCAAGGCCCTCAGGTTCATCCTTCACTCCTCCCTCACCTTCCACATTCTGTCACATCTCCCTCTGGAATCTATTCACCTCTCCCATCTCACTACTATTCTCCTGGTTCAAACCACCTTCCTTTCTGACCCAACCACTAACTACAATTGGTAGAATCCCTGTCTCTATTCTTACCCATCTGATCTCCAGCAACCAGAGTAATTCATTTTACTCTCCCCATTTAAACCCTTCGATGGCTCCGCCCCAAGTTTAGGATAAAATGCAGAATCCAGAAAGGCCATACATGACCCATGGCCACTTAGTTCATGGTCGGGTTCAAGCCAAACAGATTCCTCAGGCCTTTTGTTGTTTCCACCTTTTTCCAAGATGTTCTGTCTCCTGGTTTCCCTGTGGCCCAGCCAACTCCCAGCCATCATTTGAATCTCAGCATAGATGCCATTTCCTCCAGGATGCCTTCCCTGGCCTCCAAGCCTGGCCACATGTAGCCTTGATGCGTTCACAGCCCTTGTACTGATCCCCTCACTTCCCTCATGGCCTGCATGTAAACTGCCATGCCTGGCTGTCTCTCCTGCTTCCCTGTGAGCATCTTGAGGAAAAACAAGAACTGTTTCCACAATGAAAAGCTGACCTTCCTGCCTCTCTCTAACCCCTAGGTGAAGCTCCTGGAAGTGATGGAAGGAATGGACAAGGAGACATTTGAGTTCAAATTTGGGAAGGAGCTAACATTCACCACTGTACTGAGTGACCAACAGGTGGTAGAGCTGATCCCCGGGGGTGCAGGCATTGTGGTGGGCTATGAAGACCGTTCCCGTTTCATCCAACTGGTGCAGAACGCACGGCTAGAGGAGAGCAGAGAGCAGGTACTGCCCAGACGCCAGGAGAACAGAGACTTTGGGCCAGCTCCTAGTTGCCAGAGCCCAGCCTGATAGGCCACCAGTGCCCAGTCCTAAGAACTCTGGTCCCCGCATTCCCTTACCCCACATCCCCAATGATCAGTGGGGTACACAGGTACCCCCAGTGTTGAGCAAAGACCATGTCCCCATTATCTCCTTGAGTAGGGGCCAAATGGCCCCACCACACACTGAGCTGGGAGTTGTGCCTTCTTCCCCAGCCAGGCCTTTTCCTTCCTCCTCAGGTGGCAGCCATGCAGGCAGGTCTGCTGAAGGTGGTGCCGCAGGCTGTGCTGGACTTGCTAACTTGGCAAGAGTTAGAAAAGAAGGTGTGCGGGGATCCAGAGGTCACCGTGGATGCTCTGCGCAAGCTCAGTGAGTGTGGTGCAGGGCAGCGCAGCACTGGGGTAGGCTTAAGGGCTATGTCTATCAGGATGCAAGAATGAATTCTGGCCTTGTCCCCATCCCCACCAGCCCGGTTTGAGGACTTCGAGCCATCTGACACACGGGTTCAGTATTTCTGGGAAGCGCTGAACAACTTCACCAACGGTCAGTGGAAGAGGGCAGAGTAATGCCTGGGTTTGACTTCAATTGTGGGATACAGAGGCAGCCTGGAAGTTGTCGAACCTCCCCCACCACCAGTGGGGGCATTGATTTCCTTCTCCTCCATCCAGAGGACCGGAGTCGCTTCCTACGCTTTGTCACAGGCCGCAGCCGCTTGCCTGCACGAATCTACATCTACCCGGACAAGCTGGGGTGAGTGCGGAGGGGAGGTCCAAAGGGGCTGTCGCCAGCCTTCTGCTCTCCCCGCACACATACATGTCAGACCCCTACCCTGTACCCCTACAATTCTTCCTGATCTGTGGCCCCTCCATGCTTCCAGCTACGAGACCACAGATGCACTGCCTGAGTCTTCCACCTGCTCCAGCACCCTCTTCCTGCCGCACTATGCCAGGTGGGTTTTCGGTTGAGGGGGTGGCATGGAAGGGTGGATTAAGTTCTGCAGTGCACAAATCGGAGCCTCATCGCCCCCGGTAGTGGTGAAGGGGCCTACACACTTGGCACACTTACCAACTCCCTGCTGCCCCACCCCCCTGCAGCGCCAAGGTGTGCGAGGAGAAGCTCCGCTATGCGGCGTACAACTGCGTGGCCATCGACACCGACATGAGCCCTTGGGAGGAGTGAGCCGGCACCAGGGGCCAGCCGTGGGCCAGCGGGGTCCCACTCGGGCTAACCTAGCAAGATGCCCTCTCTGGACCACCTGGGATCTGCGTTCCCGATCTGGAGGGGAGCTGATGCACTCATAAAAAGCCATCACGCACCGCCCGTGTGTGTGGTTGGAGTGGGAGCGGTGAATTGACACTGGTCGCCCAGCCCCACACACCCACAAGCCCTACGCGTGCTCGGGCTTGCTTCCTGAATTTTTTAGCCTCTGTAAGAGGGAACCTTCCACAAGCCCAGCACAAGCTGCCAGGCCTGAGCTACTTGAAGGGGGCCTTCTAGCTCCCCACCCCATGGACTTTGCTTCAATTTTTAGCTCCTCCTTTTTTTCCTCCTTGTTTTTCTCTGGCTTCTGCCTGGACTCAAAACTAAAACTTTGGAGGCTCCTCCCCAAACAAGGCACCAGGGATGAGTAGGAAGAGATGGTCATCCTTCTTGGTCGCCTGCCCCAAGAATGAAGTAACAACTGGGTACCCCCTCCCTCACATACTGGTTTTTTCCTCTTCTCCTTCCATACTCAAGGTGTGAGCTCTCTCCTCCCTCCAACCCAGGCTCAACTGATGAAGTGCCACTCCCTTCCCTGGCTCAGAACCTACACTCAACATTAAATCTTCACTGCCATTACCACCCCATGTTAATCACTTCTCCATCACCTCCAGCCTGACTCCCCATCTGCTGTCTCACTCCTAAGTTTTGCACAAGTTAAGGCCAGTTATGTCCTCTCCTAAATCTTCAATAGCTCCTCTTTACCCAACTCTAAAATAAAGCCTAGACTTTAATCCTGCTTCTAGGCCTTATGCACATCCCTGCCTCACCCCTCCCTCCCTCAAGGGCCTCCATGACACTCCATCAAAGAATGTCTTGCACGTGGGAAAGTTTAATAAATAGATGAATTCATTCCTTCAGAATGTATTTATTGGGCTCCTGGGGGATGTGAGAGAAGGCTTTTCAGGACTTCGGGATCCTGCCAAGAGATGTGTCAAGTGGGAATGGTACGTTTCTTAATGGCAAACATTAAATTTGGAGCTGAGCAGGGAAATAAGGACCCCACTACCGAGAAGAGGAAAAAAAGCTGGCCTGGCATCTTCTAGGATGGGTGTGGTGATTCGGAGGATGGGAATCCACCTTCAGGAACCAAATGGGCGGAAGAATTTGACATTGTAGAGGACAAAGCACTGAGATGGCTGATAAACCACCCAACTCAGGATTTTTACTGACAGCAGCAGCGTTGCCTGTCCACCCCCATAACGTCTCTAATTGCCACACAACTGAAGTGCAGTCTTTAAAAACAAGTACCCGGTGAAAGATCTCATGCGGATACTGTCCCCTGACCCTCACAGTGAGCAGTCATTCTCAAGCACCATCCCAAGTGAAGTGGCCTGCGCAGGGTCGCTCACCCATCGCTTCCGCTTGCGGTCCTATAGGGTGCGCTCTGATGCTGCCCTGCCTGGTCTGTGGCGCTGGGCCCTTCCCACTACCACCCCCGCCCCCGGACAGTGAGCACCCAGAGGCCAATCTCTCCACAACTCGAGTTTAACACCCCAGCTGAGACTCCCGATAGCCCTCATCTTGCTGCTCCCCAATCCCTGCGCCTTGGGTGGTCCACAGGAAACAATCACCCCGTATTCTCCCAGCAGCCTCTTCCAGCCTAGGGAGTTTAAGGGGCAGGAGCCCCAGACGCCACCACTCACATCCAGCTTTGTTCTTACCGACAAGCTCTCACCCCCTTGTCCCACCCATCCAAGGCTGCCTTCCTGTTTTCTGGGAAGGACCTGGTCAGTGCCAGCCTGCAGGTGGTAGTCCGTTTCTGTGTTTGATACCTGCCCCATGAGTCTTTGGTCCCTCTTTTAACAAATTGGACTCACACTGTGTATTTTGTAGCTTGCTTTTCATTTAATCATTCAGTGAGTGCATGGAACACCTATGTCAGGCACCATACTAGGTGTAGTGGATAAAATGGTGGCTAAATAAATAATTTTTGCCCTCTTGGGATTTAAGTTATAATGGGAGGGACACATATTAAACAACATTCAACAACGTAAGCGCTCCTAAGGAGAAGTGAAGGGTATTGTTAGAAGACAGAACAAGATGATTCTAACCAGTGGGGCTCGGTCAAATGCTAAATCCTTAGGGAGAATAACTGGGCACAAAGGCCAACTGAGAAGCACGTTGAGTCCCACTAGAGTGTGCGGGAAAGAGAAGCGACTCCAGCCTTAGAGGACCGTTTTAGGATTTTGTAATGCGCAGCCATGAGGACGTGAAGCAAGAGAGTGACACTAGATTTACCTTTGGCAGCTGTGTAGAGAATCAGTTGAGAGGGAGAAGCTGGAGGCAGGGAGTAATCCAAGCAGGAAGTGATAGTCACTGGGACAAGCCGGCTACTCATTTTAACCATTATTTTTATTAGCTGCATTGTTTTACATTGTAAGGGATTTTCATAATGCTTATTAATTTAAAACACTACTGATGGACATTAAGTTTGCTTATAAATTTTCCATATTGAAAACTACAAATGTTACAATAAATATCCTCATGCATAGATCATTGCATACCTATTTGATTATTTCCTTAGAATAACCCTAAAATCTCTTTATCAAACTGCCAAATTGCCAGTTTATCAATTTTCACTCCCTTTAGTGTCTATTTCCCAAACTTTTACCAACCTTGGGCATTAGCACTTAAAAATATTTTTGACAATTTAATGTGCTTGAAAAATGGTGTGGTTGTTATTTTAATTTGCATTGCTTTCATTATTTACCATATGGAGCAATTGTTTTTCTTCTTTATGAACTGCCTATGTGGTTTTGTCCATTTTTCTTTTGGTTTGAGCTTACTTTCCTTATTGGTTTATAGAAATCTTTGCATAGGACTAAAATAATAAGCACAGCAAAACACTGTGCTAAGTGCTGTACATTGGTTATCTTCTTGTTGTTTTTTCTCAGCTGAGCCATCCTGCCACCTGTTGGCAGGTTAGCAGCAGCTCAGTTCAAGCCAGGAATCAAACCACCGTTGCTCAGAGCACTCTTGAGTGAGCTCTTAACCAACTGAGCCACTTGACCAGCGCCACTTATCTTGTTTTATCTTCTGAACAACTCTGTGAAGTAAGTACTATTGTTACGCCCATTTCCGGGTGAGAAGCCCAGAGCAAAGATGAATTAAGTAACTTGCCCAGCGTCACATAAGTAATAAGTGGTAAAGTTAGGTTTTAGCTTGGTAATCTGCCAGTTCCAAAGCCTGCTGACATGATAACTAAGGTGCTATAACCTCTATACTAACCCCTTTGTTGTGTCAGGTGTTGCAAATGATTTCCCGCTCTGTACTTTGCCATTTAATTTCATAATGTACAAAATTTTAAATTTTTATGAATTCAAAATCTTTATGGAAGAAACCATTTATTGGATATATACCATGGGAAGGCAATATAGGATACTATTTAAGAGCACATTCTCTAGAGTCAGCTTGCCTGTATTCATATCCTAGCTTTACCACATACTAGCTGTTGACCAGTCTCCTCAGCTTTCTTTTTTGAAGGACCTATCCTTTTACTATTAATTTGAAATGCTACCTTTCCACATCATCATTTTATGCTAAATTTTTTATATATAAGAAATTCTCATTTTACACAGTACACTAGTACCAAACTATAAAAATGCCCCTGCAATGGGCCAGCC